ATACATTGAATATGTCTGGTTACTGCTGGATCTTTTGGAACATACACTGTGACGAATAATTATAGTTCCACCTACAATTTCAGTACCCGGCTGGATATCATTTGACGATTCACGCTTATCTCAGTCGGATAGTAATCAGGGTTCCTCCCAGTCATATCCTGTAGCATCCTTGAGAAATTTGTTCGTTATGAAGTCACCCCGACAAATTCCAGCGGAGCTGACACTTTGACAATTCCTGCGTCTCTTTTGCTAGGATTTCCCTTTTACGGAAGTGTGACAGCGGTTTTGCCTTTGCTATAAGCTAAGGAACTTGAATGGATAATAATTCCAAATTTTGATTGGGTAAAAGCAAAATGCAGCGGAGAAGCTAAAGCGGATATTTTCGAAAAAATAAGGATAAAAAATTGTTGCTTTCTCAAACTGGATTTCCGTGTTAATATTCAGATTCGCGTTTATATGTGTCACAATTTATCTGTAGAGCCTTTTTCAAAAACATCCCCAGATTCAAGTTTTTGGGAAATTTGTAGGTGGAACTATAATTATGCGTCGCAGTGTACCTATCCATTTACCATCATCACATTTAAATTTCGACCGTTTAGAATGTTTCTATAAAACATCACTTCACCGAATGAACATTCACCATCTAAATGTTGATGTTGACGAAAAAAAAAACGCTTCTGATTAGTGACAACCACAAATTCCCGAGGACTTATGAATAAACATAATATAATTGTCATATCACGAGAAATCAGCCACAATGTAGTCTCTATCTGCATAAAAATATACCACTAGATCTTTGATGACAACCTAGAAGCGCAAAAACATTTCACACATCCCCTCCTGGCTGGAAACGTGCAGGAAAGTGTAGCCGGCGAACGTACCCGGCTGCATGCCGCCTATGGGTGCGATGCGTAGAGACCAGCTACCTGTCCCAACTCCCCTTGCTAGATAAAACTTCACTGGCTGAAGCTTTGTAGCTCTAGATCACAGGGGCTGTTCCACATTATTCATTGTAGAATGCGATTTTAAATTGGCATGTAAGGTGTTCTGTGCTTTCCATTCAGTAGTTGTTTGATGGCAGCACGCAGTGAAGGCTTGAACGCAGTTACTGCTTGAAGTCAGTGATCATGATAGAAGGAGGGTGATGCGGTTTAGATGGCGTCATATGATATCATTGTTAGACTGGACCTCTCAACGCACTGAGATGTAGTTGGGACCAGGGTCAACCCTACGTTGTTACGAGTAACAACGGGGGGTCGTACCTGGTTGAGTTTGTAGGAGGGGGGGGGTCGTATCCACTTTAGCCCTAGAAAAGGAAGTAGTGGGAGTATAGGTAGAAAATGGGTTGAAATGGTGGAAATAGAAGGAAATTTTCGGAGATATTTACCGTTTCAGAGTGACTATATACCCCCCTCCCCGCCCCCGCTCGACGGCATTTTTGGAGGAAAAAGTGGGCGAAGTTTTGATGGAGGTCGTAAAAAAATTTCGAAAAGTAACAACGATAGGACAGACCGTGGTTGGGACCGCACCTAAACGCCCGTCCACCAGTGACGTCCAATGACGTCGGCAGACCTGCGCTACCCTCCTGCATTCATGGTCACTGCCTTTAAGCTTGAATGAGAGTTGCATTGTTGGCTGCTTGTTCTATAGGAAAAGCGTGGTAGGAAGTAAGCATCTGAACTTATAGTTTGAGCTCTCGCTCGATTTGTTGAACTCCATTTGAAATCGATGCATTCAATTTAACACATATCGCATCAGATCTAACTTCGAAAATAACTCTAGGGTCCTGCATTTTGTCAGTTGATGACGTACTTGAATACCATGAACATCCTACTGGGAACGGCTGATTTAATTCATATTTCGTCGTGCTCGTTAACGAGACTCGTAGAGGTGTCACCTGTCTGCCCAAACTCAACTGTGGATTGAGGTACTTGCTGCAATGGAAGGAATTGTTCTGTAATTTCCAGGTATGCTCCTCACCAAGAGCACATGGAGCGACATGATCCGGCCCCATCAAATCAATACTATGCTCAGACTAACGTGGTCAGTAATTCCACTAATCCGTTCAGGATCTTTCCAAATACCTATCTCCATCACGATTTATTTTTAGCCAATGGTCCAATACGTACCAGTGATGATGACACCGCAACCAATGATGTTCTCTGCACAGATGAACCAAACAATGGTGCAGTCACCCATGCTACTTCCTGGCCCCTCCGTACCCCACATGGCTCCGCATCGAGAAGAAGGTTCGTGGTTATTCGACAATAAAACCAAGTATCGTAGCTCTTAGTGGCCAGTCTTTTCGAACAATGATTGATCATTTTTCTGACCTCTTATACTACGTCAGTAGTAGGCAAAGTTTATGAACCCTATAAGAGCACTACACACCTATCTGTTTCTGCCATAACCCTGGTTAACGAAGTCTTGCCACTACAGCGTCGTACATTACTTCATTCAGTGTTCATTCATTCATTCATTCATTCA